GTAAACTAGCTAATGGCAATACCTTTGCTGTGGCAGTGTCAACTAGCAGAACCATCTAGAAGGCACACAAATACAAGTTAATTGTTGTTACGTGGACACAGAGTGTGGCATATTATACATTATGCAAAAACATTGCAAAACTGCACATTTTAGCTGAAAGGAAAGCTTAAAAATTATTCTGCAAAGCAGATATTGTGTTTATTTTCTCTGCACTTTGCAATTTACAAAAATGGGGGACTTACCTGCGCAGTGAAAGAGAGAGACAGCATCAAAACTCTTTCAATGTATGCTTTTTCCCCTCAGTCTCTGGGCCACTAGACCATATCATGTCAGCTTACTGTCATCTGTAGGGAAGAGAAGTTTAATGTTTGATGTATTCTCTCCTGCTAACAAATCTGATGACCAACATTTACCATAAACTCCAAGTGAAAGCATTTTTTTCACACACACGCACATACAGAACCAGCCCAAATCGTTAAGGTGCTATAGTGCACCTTAGAAAAACAAGCACACATCAGTCACTGCAGAAGCTTCAGCTTGTCTGCACTGTGGTCTTCAGCCTATACAGCAGGTGCTACCTGCACTACAGACGGATGACAACTCATGAAATGTTAGCTTCATAGAGCCTTAGATATATCTTTTTAACAAATGAAACTAGGACACTGGGATATCATTACAGCTTCTCAACCCAAAAAACAAAACTTCGTAGAGTTGTGCCCTAGTTTAGTTGTTTCTTTGGGCACGGGTTCTTTGATAGCATTTTAATTTGAAATCTCTCTTTTCCCATGTACATATAGCTGATCACATGAAGAATAATGGGAGAAAAGAAAGACACTCAAATAGTTCAAGTGGCCAAGACAGTAACCAAAGTAACAGGTCAAGCCAGGTGGTTTCTCAGCCCCTTGTGCACCCTTTGCTGGCTGTTGTGTGAGGCAGTCAGAGCTGCCATCGCTATTTCTGCAGAAGTACTTCCCGCTCTGCACACTGGTCTCCTCTGCCTCGCGCAGGGTCTTACACAGCTGGAAAGAGGTCACTGTGAGGATATTGGTGGAAGAGGAACAACAGGTGTTGGAAAACAGAGGGGTTTGCAAATTGTACTGTGCCTACATACAGGCCTGAGGCTCAACCAAAAAGAAAGACACTGCTAGTTTAGCAGACCTGGGCTCACCACAGGAGCTCCATAAATACCAAGACAGCATGGACCAGAAGGAAGTATTGGCTCTGGGCTGCTTGGGAGCTTTTTACATAAGGCAGTAAAGGTAATTTCGGTAAGGTAATAAATCATCTATTTGGGGTTTGAGGTGCCCAAACTTGATGCCATTTTGGGGATCTCTGCCAGTGCTCTTCTATCATGTTTCATACCCAGACATCACTGTGGGGCAGCAGAGGTTGAGCATGGTGGTGTGCTATTTGTTTGACATATTAGAGGCAAGAACAGAACCGCCTATGAAATTAATTCAGCTTATCGGCAGGGCAGCAGCAGCATTTTGTGTAGTACCTGGGAGCGTGAGCATGAGAACCTGCTTAGAGTAGGCAGGTAACACTGGTGGCAGGCATTGGCCTTCTCTGAGGAGGTCTAGGTGAGCAGGGGAACTGCACAGTGCAGGGTGAGTGGCTGCTGTGCTGGAGCAGCGTGGTTTGTAGTCGGTGCTGTGCCAGTGTTTGTGCCGTCGCTTGGATACGCACTGGGCTCTCCTGTGTTTGGTGCTTAACTTTTGTGCAGTGCAAGTGCCTGTGGCAAAGTAGTTTGTCACAGTTTGTCAGTTCCATCTGACCTCTTGCTACATCCCGGAGCAGGGAAGGAAGGAAAGCCTTTTCAGGCAGGAGTAAGCGCTCCACCCAGCGACTGCCTCCCCGTCTGAGTGTGCTTAAGTTGGACATCAGGAGGAATTTCTATGCAGAAAGGGTTGTCAAGCATTGGAATGGGCAGCCCAGGGAGGTGGCGGAGTCACTGTCTCTGGAGGTGTTTAAGGAAAGACTGGACGTGGCACTTAGTGCCATACTCTGGTTGAATGGTGGTGTTCAGTCAAAGGTTGGGCTCGATGATCTCAGAGGTCTTTTACAGCCTCATTGACTCTGTGATTCTGTGCTCCAGGAGGTGCCTGAAGCCTAGCAGATTTGAGCTAGCTGGGGGCTGCGGGACCGCGTGTCCTGCCCACCGCTGCCAGGAAGCAGACTTGTGTGCCCCCGCAAGCTTTGCTTTCCCTGCGCAGGGCTGTGCTGCGCCGAAGAGGTCATCATGGCTAGGCTTCGCGAACGAAGATTTGGGAAGGGCTCTACCCACGTTTCTTGCAAGCGCGTTGGTGGCTAAAAAGGCCAATACGAGACAGGCATGTCCGGTTGCAAAAGGCACAGCAGAAAGACTCCTTAGGTGGTATATTCTGACACAGCAGAAAGACGCCTTAGGTGGTATATTCTGGCCGGAGAGGTACCACGCAGCAAAAGGGGATGGCCTGAGAGTGAGCCCCGTTCTGTTGGCGCGCGTGCCGCGCACTACCTGCGTGTCTGTGGCCGTGACGAGAGCCCGCCCCGCGCGCACCCGCTCGGCCCGGGGGCGTCTCGGCGGAGTTGTCGTGGGGCGGGGCGGGCGGGGGCGCGGCAGCGCCCGGCACTCTCTGCCGGCGGTCCGGGGACTTTCCCCTAGGCGGGCACAGGGCCCGTGAGGAACCGGCGTCCTCCGTGCGTGGCCTAGCGAGCAGGTCTTCAGAACATCCCGGCATCCCTATGCCCCTTACACCGCATTATAAAGGTCGGCAGCTGGCTCAACCTAGAGGGCAGGGCGAGGAATGTGTTACGCTTTAGTTGTCTGCACGCTACTCTTCGCAGCCTAAGCACAACAGACAGACCGCTCGGCCGCCCCCGAGGGGCGCCAGGACCCCGGGCGGCAGCGAAAACTTCCACAGGGAGGGACAGAGCGGCGCCGGGAACACGTTATGCAAATGACGCACCGAGGCCCCGCCCCGAGGCGGGCGGGCGCGCGCTCTGGCCCCGCCTTGCGGCCGCCGCTGGGATCGGCCCGCGCCACTCCAGTGCCCCCCGGGCGGGAACTGGGAACTTCGGGCGACAGCCCCCGAACCGGTGCGTGCCTTGGAGACTGGGAACAGCAACCAGCGGGGCGGCTGTCCACAAGGAGCCAGCGGTAGTACTTGGATGTTCTACCACACTCCAGAAGAAACGGGAGTCACTTCTGATGGCTGCGATTTCCTGTACTTCTGCAGACAAAACAGGCTCAGTTTTTCTTTCGGTTGGTTCGTTTCCTTTGTCCCCCCGAGGCAACTCTGCACACTTACAGTGTTAGTGCAATTGTTTTCGCCGGTCCTTGTCAGTAGGGTCTGACAGTTAAAGACCAGCATCCCCATCCCTAGAGACCAGGACAGTACCTGGAGGGGAGACCGAAAGGTTTTAGAACTGACAGGACTGCACAAACACTGCTTGCCACAGCCAGTTCTTTGAAATTCTTTCTTTCTTCCTTTGGGCTTAATGACATCTTAATAAATTCTCATTCAAATACTCGAATAATGCTTATTCAGTTGTATGTTAGAATGTGCGTTTTGAGTTGCTTTCCATGCAAAACGTGAAATAAAAGTAACACACTTCAACCTTCAGTTTCTACTAAGAGTAGCTACAGACTCATTCTTTAATGATTCACAACCAAATATCAAAGAGGAATAACATTCAAAATTTTTTAAAAAGTAAGCCTAAGTCAGGTCTTTAAAAAAATGGCACGTAGCACCTCAGCCTTTTAACACAGTTGCCCTAAGAGCCCCTCGAGGTCAGTGAATACTGTGAACTTTGCTTTCCAGACAAGAAACACGGGTTTTCACACTGCAACATGCACTGCAATTCTGAACCAGAGATCTGGAGATGCCCAAACCAACAGCAGCAAAAGCTGTACTCCAGAGGGCACGGAATGCAACTCCTGCCCTGCAAACCCCATCATTCTGTATCTCTACCTGAACAGGGTGGGGACTTGAAAATAGATCTCACACTTCCCATCATGAATACCACAGCTCCTAAGCACAGCACGAAGCTTGCCCTGAGCTTTAAGCGTGTACCAGCTGTCGTGCTAAGATACAATTTAGAGCATTCCATTCTGAACATTAGGTTGCGCTCCAGGAATACCAAGGGGGAACTCCTGAGAAACCTAACCAGGGCAAAAGGTGACCGAGGACACAGAAGCACAAGGGTCAGGTGGAGGAAGTTCTCAACCAGCCATTGGGAAGCATGAGTGCCTTGCAGGCTTCTGGTGCCATGGACAGCCACTGCTGTTTAAAATCATGTAGGGTAGAGCGTAACAACACAGCTGCAGTTTAGTCCCAAAAATCACAAAAGAACTTGAAGTGGACGTATGTACTGCTGGGATCCCAGAACTTCCTATTCACTCCTGTAGTACTTGATCAATGAATCTGTCAGTGAAGCATAAGGTCGCCACTAAATGATGCTAACTACTGTAATCGGACAAGATTAATTCAAAATAGCACTGAAGACATTATGTTTTTACAATTACACGTCATTATCCAATATACCAAAACATGCAGTTTGTGCAGGTATTTCAGTAACATTGAAAATAAAAGGTAATCTACTTTCCTTGCTTCAAATCATTCTGTACAGGGTATAAAAATGTAGCAAAGGAAGGGCTCAATTAGCATGAATGCTTTACAATACACTCACTGTCTCCAGCAGACAGCAGCATCTTCATTTTGCTTATCTCAGTGTTACAAAAGTAGAAATTGATATTCTATAGGTCCACTCTATCAGTTTTACAGTATTTCAGCTACACATCTAAAGCCTTGAAGCCGAAGTAAAGCTTTTCTGAAGGTGTTGCAAAGTTATTGAAATGGCTGGAATATTTAGTAGCCAAAACCAAAGTACTATAAAAGCTTATCCCAGAGGTTTTATTGTGTGAGTAGCAGTCAAAATATACTTAGTGTAGAAATCCATGTTTATTTGAAAAAAAAAACCCCAGAACTGTAAATGATACTTCACAATATAAATTAAATCTGTGACTTGACTAATTACTAAGTCACCAGTGTGACGCTGTGGCTCTAACCTGCTAGTATAATGTTAAATGGGATCAGGGTGTCACTTATATTGCAAGTGTTATGAAAACATCCCATAAAAATAGTCAACCAACTACTTTCTCTCCTAATATGATCAACAGTGAACATTATGAGGAACAAGCCTGAAACAGACAATCCAACTTTTTGATTGAAATTTTTAAATAACCTTCAATCATTCAAGTATTATGGTCCCTACGTACACACTTCTATGTGGCTAGAAAAGACATGGTAGACAATTGAGCACACTGCCATCAAATTGTAAGAATTACAAAAATGTCAGGTTTTACAGCAAATTGTACCTTAATACTTTAATTAAAAATAGAATAGTTAGGTAGACTATTTTGCAAATACAACAGCACACTAGTGTGCTGTATATTAAGGCAATACCTTTAAATGCACACTTGTCATCTCTAACAAGTTTTATACAATTGCTACTGAGTGAAAGAACTATCATTGTCTTGCAAAACTGAGAAAGAAATACAAAATATCTGGAAGCCTACATTTTCAAAGTACAAAATTAACCTTCAGTCCTTGTATTGAAATACTATACACAGTAGAAACAGTGATTCTCCCCTACAAGATCTCACGAGGATTTCTTAAAGCTGGAGGCAAATTTGAAGGCTTTGACTCTTCATCCAGAAGCACCAAATCTTCAATTTCACTGCCTTTGTATTTTCTTTTACATATCTTCACAATAACTTTCTTCTTGAGGAATAATTTCAAAGCTTCTCTTGAAGCCACTGCTTTGGCATTTTCCATACTTTTACCACAGCCAGTACCCAAGTAGACAGACTTGCACCTCAGTTCACAAACTATATTTTCTAGAGAGCTTTTATTTTGAGGCAGGTCTGCAAGTTCCTTCAGGGGAACAAAAGCAACATCTAATGTAGCTTTTACGGACTGAATAGATGAGTTTAGAAGTTCTGCATGATTTACATTAGGACTGAAGCCTCCAACAGCAACCAGTTTCCAGGCTACAGCTTTGTAGAGTCTGTTAAAAAAAGGCTGTCTTTCCTTTGCATCTTCACTGGTTAATGGTTTGCACAAAGCCTTAGCAGGGCTTTCACCTGCCTGTGAGCCACTCTTGGAAGCCAGCAGGGAAGCACCTGCCTGAGCTCCACCCCGGGAGGAGGGACCTTGCTGAGCTCCACTCCGGGCAGCCAGCAGCGAGGCAGCCACCTGAGCGCTGCTCTTGGAAGCGAGCAGTGAGGATCCTGGCTGCGCGCCACTCCGAGCGGCCAGCAACGAGGCGGCCACCTCAGCACTGCTCTTGGAGGCCAGAATCGAGGAGCCCACCTTAGCGGGGCCCTTGGGGGACAGGAGCAGCGAGGTGCCCACCGGAGTGCTGCTCTTGGGTGCCAGAAGCAGTGAACTGCCCACTTGAGCAGCACTCTTGGACACTGCTGCTGGGGTACTCGCTTGGTTTTTGGAAGACAGCAGTGCAGCATTTGTCTGGGGGGTGCTCTTGGTGGTTGGTGGCACAGCTGCCACCTGTGGGGTGCTCTTAGTGGTCAGTGGCATGGCTGCTGCCACCACCGCTGCCTGTGGGGTGCTCTTGGAAGCTGGTGACACTGTTGCTGCCACCACTGCTACCTGTGGGGTGCTCTTGGTGGTTGGTGGCACTGCTGCTGCCACTGCTGCAGTCTGTGGGGTGCCCTTGGCAATCAGTGGTACTGCTGCTGCCTGTGGGGTGCTCTTGGAGGTTGATGGCACTGCCACTGCCACGACTGCTGCCTGTGGGGTGCTCTTGGCAGCTGGTGGCACTGCTGCCGCCACTGCCTCTGGCTGCAGGGTGCTTTTGGCAGCCAGCGGCGCTACACTTACTGTAGTTTTCTTTTCAGGCGATGGCACATTTTCGCACTTGCTTTCTTCAGATGGGCTTGAGACAGGCTTCTTTCCTGGCTCTTTTTCAGATGAGGATGACTTTTGCTCAGCAGTATTTTCAGCATTAGCAGGTTTCCCTTCTGTTTCTATGTCTGATGCTACGACCATTTCTTGATCTGAGCTGCAAGTTGACTGGGAAGTTTCTGGATCTTTGCTAGTACCTTTTTCTTGCTTTTTTGGCAATGTGCTCTCTGTTTCCTTCAGGGCTTCTGCCTTGATTGTTTTCACATCCTTTCCAGCATCCTTAGAGTCTTTGCTTTTCTCAACAGCTTGTCTCTTGGAGGGCTGCTCTAGCCCTTCTGCAAAACAAGTAAAATATGTTATCCTCTTTGATTTCTGAACTGTGAAATATCCATGTAGAGAGAAATCATCTAAAACATTCTGGCAATAATTTCTGTGAATTTAAAAGGTATACATTAGGAATACACCTTGAACTTTAATTTCAAGTATTAACATACTATTTCGGAATATTTTAGTACTTTCTTGATAAAAACCTGAAAATACTCAGGTGCAAGATTTCAGATGTTGGTTTGGGACCCACAGGCAACTATGTATTTCTATTCTTGAAGTCCAAACCAAAAGTAACTAACATACATTAAATGGACTATCTGACCTAATTGTCTATTGTCTACTAATATCATAAAAGTTTCTTTAAGAAACTCAGTTTCTTACACAGCAACAGTGTCTGACTAGCAGCAAAGGCAAAGCAACAAGAACGCATTTAAGCTGGAGTACAGCAGTCCATTGCAACACACAAGTAATCAGCTTAAAAGTGCACCAGTTGTAGAAGTTCAAAACGACAGCTCTACATTACCAACGAAGTATGTGTGCACTACATCCATTTTAAGGATACTATATTAGGAAAATAATAGCACAGAGAGAGAAAACAAAAACCAGGAGTGTTTAAGGTAAATTATTTTGACTACTTTCTAAGCCCGAGGCAAACTGAGAACATTTAGAAACAAGCATTTTCTAGACTCCTATGTATTGTCACAGCTATGATCTGCTAACCATTGCTACTTGATATGCCTCTTTTCTTCACCTTGGCAACCAGTTCGTCTCTCGTGGTGCGGACAGGCGCGCCGGTCACTTGGATGCCTTCAGCCATTTCCAGCGCCTTCTCCATGACCTGCGGCGGGTACCTGGAGGGGCGACAAGGGGAAAAGAGGGAAGGGGTGTCGTCAGGTGGCCGCGCCGCGCCGCCCCCGCCGCCCCGGCGGGTCCCGCAGAACTCACCGGCATCCCAGGAAGACGTGGTTGGCCCACACCATGGAGAGGGACACCAGGCGCTGCAGCTGAGCGCTGCCCGCCGCCGGCGGCTCCCCCACGTTGCGCAGCAGGAACTCCCGGCGGTACCGCCAGTGGTGCTCGGGCTCGCAGGCCCCGCGCAGCGTCTCCGCCCAGGCCGCCTCCTCCGCCGTCCGCCCCAGGGGCTCAGCCGCCGCCACCTTCCCCGCCATCGCCGCCGCCGCGGAAACACCCGCCCCGCTCCTTCCGGAGGGCGCGGCCTGAGCTCATATCCGCCGGAGCCGGCGGGCGGGGTGGGCACCGCGGGCTGAGCGCCTCAGGCTTTGGGGTGGGGCAGAGCCGCCTGGGTCCCGGTGGCTCCGCGGGTGCCGGGGGAAAGGGGGGCGTGTGGGCACTGTTGCGTGCCCTGTATTGTGCCTGGGGAAAGAGTGAATAAAATTTCTGCTTTACGGCTTGATTTTTCTAGGCTTGCTGAGGTCGGAGTTCATGAAGATTAACTGGTGTTTTCACCTCAGAATTACAATTAGGTTAGAAAAGACCTCTGAGATCATCAAGTCTAACCTATGACCGAACAGCACCTTGTCACCTAAACCATGGCTTTAAGTGCCTCGTCCAGTTTTTAAGCACCTTCAGGGACAGTGACTCCACCACCCCCGGGCAGCCCATTCCAATGTCTTATCGCCCTTTCTTTGAAGAAACTCCTCCCAATGTCCAGCCTGACCTTCCGCTGGTGCAGCTTGAGGCTATTTCCTCTCTCATCCTGTCTTTGGTTATCTGGGAGAAGAGGCCGATTCCCACCTGGCTACAACCTCCTTTCAGCGATAAGGTCTCCCCCGAGCCACTTCCAGGCTGAACAACCCCAGCTCCCTCAGCAAGAGGGAATCCTTCTCATAAGACTTACTGTCTAGACCCATCACAAACTTCATTGCCCTTATCTGGAGACGCTCCAACACCTCAATGTCCTTCCTGAATTGAGGGGCCCAAAACCGGACACAATACTCGAGGTGTGGCCTCACCAGCGCTGAGTATAGAGGGCTGATTACTGCTGCAGTCCTGCTGGCCACACTATTTCTGATACGTGCCATTGGATGCATTGGCCTTCTTGGCCCCCTGGGCACACTGCTGGCTCATGTTTGACCAGCTGTTGACCAGCACCCCCAAGTCCTTTTCTGCTGGTGAAAGGAAAAGGAACCCTAAGGTCCTTTTCTCCTTTCCTCCTCGGTGTTGTCCACAAAATTGGATTTGTTACCTGGTGTGCAATAAGCCAAAAATTCTACACTGGAGAGACAGAGTTGATATTTATTTCAGAGCTGCACAAGCCTGGGTGCTTGGTGGTATTCCACAAATCAAGCACACCTCTCCATACTTTTTGTGCCATTATTTATACACAGAAGTTCAGAGTTAGTAACTTTCCAAGCACAGCCCCTCTATTATGATTAATTAGTAATTTCCATACAAGTTATGTAACCCCAGCTAGCTTCTATGCATGCTCAGGGGAAGGGTCTTTACCTGGACAGGAATCTTTTTGACCTGTAGGCATGATTTTTAGTGTTATGATATAGTGGGGTTCTGCAGGAGTTCATCTTAGATTCTGTGTTCTTCAACATCTTCATAAATGACTTGGATGCACGACTGGAAGGGATACTAAGCAAGTTTGCAGATGACACAAAACTGGGAGGAGCTGTTGACTCCCTCGAAGGCAGGGAGGCCCTGCAGAGAGACCTCGATAAATTAGAGGACTGGGCAATCACCAACCATATGAAGTTCAACACGGGAAGTGCCGGATTCTGCACCTGAGATGGGGCAACCCTGGATGTACGTACAGACTGAGGAATGAGATGCTGGAAAGCAGCGCCATGGAAAGGGACCTGGGAGTCCTGGTCACAGGCAAGTTGAATATGAGTCAGCAGTGCCCTGGCAGCCAGGAGGGCCAACCATGTCCAGGTTGGCAAAGCATTGCCAGCTGGTTGAGGGAGGGGATTGTCCCACTCTGCTCTGCACTGGGGCAGCCTCACCTTGAATATTGTGTGCAGTTTTGGGCACTACAATATAAGAAAGATATTAAGCTATTAGAGAGCATCCAAAGGAGAGCAACAAAGATGGTGAAGGGCCTTGAGGGGAAACTGTATGAGGTGAGGTCACTTGGTCTGTTCAGCCTGGAGAAGACTGAGGGGAGGCCTCATTGCAGTCTACAACTTCCTTGTGAGGAGAAGAGGAGGGGCAGGCATTGATCTCTGGTCTGTGGTGACCAGTGACAGGACCTTAGGAATGGCCTGAAGTTGTGATAGTGGAGGTTTAGTTTAGGTTGGGTATTAGAAAAAGGTTCTTCACCCAGAGGGTGGTTGGGCACTGGAACAGGTTCCCCAGGGAAGTGGCCACAGCACCAAGCCTGACAGAGCTCAAGAAGCATTTGGACGATACTCTCAGGCTCATGGTGTGACTCTTGGGGGTGGTCCTGTGCAGGGCTAAGAGTTGGACTCGATGATCCTTGTGGGTCCTTTCTAACTCAGCATATTCTGTGATTCTGCAGTAGTTCACCTACAGGATATATGAACCTTGAGTATTTTGCCAAGTTAACAATGTATACATAGATATACATTGACATATTGATTTACTATATCCTTTAAGCTTGTTAGTTCCTAGTTGTCCTTGACGAAGGGATGCTAGCTGCTGCCTGTTCCACTGATTAAGTCTCCTTACTTGCTGATTAAGCTTGCATCAAAGACCATCCTGATTTAAAATAATCTTGACATATTCCACATTTTGCAGCATCGTCGTCAGACAGGAAAGTAGTACCAAGGACATGGGTTGTTGTAGCCTTTTGGAGGAAGCATTAAGTGAGGACTGCTGTCTACAAAAGGTTTTTCTAATTGCTCTTGCAGCTCTATAGGCTGCATTGAATTTGCAAAAGATTACCCCAGAATTTAATTCAAAACCATTTGGAGAACTCTGTGTAAAAAAGTAATAGGCACACTGTGAAAATATCACAAGCTTTGGTCTGCCAAGATGGTGCATGCTGAATCAGTGCAACAGAGGAATGAATTTTGATTTCTAAAGGGCCGTCCCTGGAGAGCTGTATTGATTTTTCCCTCTGAATTAAAAGTCTGGGTTTGCTTAAGTTTTTAGTTTTTAATACCTACTTGTCATCATGAAATGAGCTACAAGACAGATTGCATTTAAGGAAGAAGTGTTTCTCCTTGTCCTGGTTAGAACGGCTGGGACCAATTCATCCCTGGATGGGTGTAACCCAAAACTGTGTATTCTATAGCCTCCATGCCATTTCCCAAAAACTGCTGTCAGTAGAGGCCTGCAAGGTGGGAAGATGTTCCTGTACCCTTATATGGAATTCCCCGCTCTGATAAGAGGGACTGAGCATCCACATGCCCTTTTATGGAATTCCCTACTCTGAGGGAGGGACTGAGCACTCCCGCCTGAACTGGAGAGTATATAACTGGGAGTTTCAGAGCCTTGGGGCTCTCTCTCTCGTGGGACCCAGAGGAAGACAGCAGACCACCGCTGCTCCCAACCAGGCTGAGACCACCACCCTCAACTGGACTGCAATCACCACTTCTGACCAGACTGCAGCAGCTCTCCCACCAGCAGGTTTTATCCCCTCTCCCTTTGCTTTGGACTCGGGGGGTGGGCCAAGGTACACCACTTTTGTTCATACCCCAGGGTGCTGGGTTTGTACATTTGGGTTTTGTGGGTTAAAACCAATTGTCTGTCTGTATACTTGTACTTATTGCATTATTTTAATAAATTGTTATTCTGACTTATAAATCTCTCTTTTGAATTGAGTTCATTTTGCCTTGCTGGTTAACTTTTAAACCAGCACACTCCTTAAGTGACTTAAATGCCTTATTTTGTGGAAATTGTTGTGTAGTGGCTTAAATTAGAATACCTCTGTGAAGCAAAAACTAAGTGATTAAGGAAACTAAGTCAGAAAAATATAGTCCAATGCACTTTTGCTCTTTACCCATTGTTAGAGTGGAAGCACTTTTCCTTCACTTTCCTGATTAGCCCACACAGTGTTATGTTGTACATTGGCAAGAATAATTTAGTGGCAGAGAGCAAGCAAACAGTAATGAGTGGGATGGAGCTGACAGGCTCTCTATTGTTTTCTGTGTGCATGTAGAGGAAGAAAAGAGCAGAAAGTTTGTACCCTCTCTAGTGTGGGTGTCTTAGAGCAACGGGTTTGTTAAGAAACAATTTCAGAAGGTTTAGAAACAGCACTGTGGTTCCCATATTTGTTTCCAGGCATTAGTTGTATCAGTGTGGTTATCTGGTAATATAGGCTCAAATATATGAAGGATATGATTTGTCACATTAGGGTTTTCATTAGGTGAGATAGGCCTGTCTCCTAGACCCCTGAGTCTGTGATACCACAGTTCTTGACTTCATAGTCCATACAGGCCCTAGAATGGAAGGGTGAATGGAATCCCTGCAAACACAGGTTTGAGTTTGCGCTTCAGACAAGATTGTCTGTGCTGCCAGCCTGTTTGTTCACACCCTTCAGTGAACCAGTTTATTTTTAATGAAGCTGGTTGGGACTTGGTCCAGGCTTGAGATCTGACCCTCAGAGACAGCAGGAATTCAACAAGGCCTGCTCTACGTTATATGCTCTTAATACCAGAGCAGGAATTCAACAGACAATTCAGCTGCAGCAGGATTGTCTGTACTCTTGCAGAAGTAGCAGAGCAAAAAGCACAGGTGAGAATGCCCTGTCCTCCTCCACAAGCATCTGAGTTACCAAGTGAAGTGACTAAAGACCAATCTATGTTGAGCTGCTCATGTACCTCTCCATGAGCTGGGGGGGGTGGGTTAGGAGGGTGATAGGGGCATTTGTACACTCAGAGGGATCCCCAGAAGTCATATTCTGGTTTTGCTGGGTTAATGACAGCCAAACATCAGAGGTAAGACTCCACACCTCAGAGCTTTGTGTCTGCTCCTGATCACCTCATGTGCATCAGATTATACGGTCTCACCTGTGAGTCCCAGGCTCCTACAAAAGCGTTGGAGACTCAGCACAGCTACAGAGCTTAGTACATTATCTGGTCCTAGAGTGGCTCAAGGACTGATAAAACCAACTTTTTCTTGCCCAGTTTTAGAGGACAAATGAACTCAGAGCTGTTCCACCTCTTTGCCCACTGACCATATATGTGAACACAAACATAGGTGACAGCTAGAGAAAAGTCAGAGGATGGTCCTGAAC